TAAATATTCTAATGCTGTAACTGTTGGGGTTTTGTTTTTACTTTTGCTTTTCTTTCTTTCCTTTTTTTTTTTTTTTTCCTGAAACAGAGTCTCACCCTATTGCCCCGGCTGGAGTGCAGTGGCATGAGCTCAGCTTACTGCAACCTCTGTTCCCCAGGTTCAAGCAATTCTCCTTCCTCCCAAGTAGCTGAAATTACAGGCATGCACCACCAACACACCTAATTTTTCTGTTTTTAGTAGAGATGGGATTTTACCAGGTTGGTCAGCCTGGTCTTGAACTCCTGGCCTCAAGTGATCCACCTGACTTGGCCTCCCAAAGTGCTGGGATTACAGGCATGAGCCACTGTGCCTGGCCTATTTTTGCTTGTTTTTAACAAACTTAAATGCCTTCATAAAATTACCTTCATAACAACTTAGAAGACCATGTTTGAATTTCGAAAGCTTAAGTCTTTGGAATGCTGTGCCAGAACATTCCCACACAGGGAAAACTGGCCCACCCAGCCTCCCGTTCTCCATTCTACTGGCGGTATCCTGTACTGCAAGGGGTCTCCTGCACATGTGTGAGGATACCCGGGTGCAGACATCTAAGCTTCATCCATACCCCTCACCAACAGCTGCCCCCCGGCTATCCTGTTTTCTCAAGGGTGTGTATACTGGTACATAGTTAACCCTCAGGACAGTGGATGGAGGAAGAAGCCTGATTAGGGCCCAGATGCATGCTTATTGCCATCTGGGTAGCAAATTCCATGGTCTCAGGTTTCTGGAATGTGATCTAGCAGGCAGTGGGGTGCCGTGTGGAGTGACCAGAGAAGGGCTACAACAAGGTCCTCTTAACAGAGCCTAAAGCAGAAGCTCCTCCTGGCTAGGTGTAAGGGTATTTAGTCTATTATATAATAAACACATAAATACATATGTTATTAGGTCAGTTGGACAAATTGTCATCTGTCCAGTCAAATTTGAAGAATTATTTTGAACCAATTTGAACCAGTGTTTCAAACCGGTGTTTCATAGTATAAATGTTGGTGGATAAACAAATTAGTATCAGCTATAAACAATACCAGTGTAAAAATAGTTCTGAATATGATGATCAGAATAATCAAACCAATGAACCTTATCACAGAACAAGCTTTGAATATCCTGCTTAGGCAACTTTGGGTAAAAATTTCTTTGTAAAACTTAGCTCAAACAGAGCAAAAATACACAATAGGTTTTATTTCTTTCTATTAGGTACTTCCTAAGAAAGGTTACCATCATATTATATATACCTAGGGGGCTAAATTTATTCAGGTCATAATTACTTAAACTCACTGACCATTATTGTAAATACTTCCATAAAATTCTGAGTAGCTGAACAGAACATATGGGCTTGAGTTCAAACCCTGGCTTTATTCACCAGCTAGTGATTTTTTTTTTTTTTGAGATGGAGTCTCACTCTGTCACCCAGGCTGTAGTGCAATGGTGCAATCTCGGCTCACCGAAACCTCTGCCTCCCCGGTTTAAGTGATTTTCCTGCGTCAGCCTCCTGAGTAGCTGGAACTACAGGTGCCCACTACCATATCCAGCTAATTTTTGTATTTTTAGTAGAGACAGGGTTTCACCATGTTGGCCAGGCTGGTCTCGAACTCTTGACCTCAGGTGATCCACCCACCTCGGCCTCCCAAAGTGCTGGGATTATAGGCGTGAGCCACTGAGCCTAGCCTCACTATTAGCACTTAAATGGAGCAAAGCCTCACCAATTCACTGCAACTACTGAAAGATGATGAGAAATTAGTAAAGAGGCTGACTTATTCAAAATCCTTTAAGAAAAGAGTCTTTATTATTTGCAAGTACATAGAACAACACAAATAAGACTCAAAACTACTCCTAGATGATTTTTCCAAGTATATGCTTAATAGATAGAAATAATCTGACATTTTCTTGGATAGTTTATATTCAGACATATAATTCTAAATGCTTGTAAAAAGTACACTAATGCTTTAAACATAATTTATTTTTATCTTTCTTTAAAAAACAAATCATACTAAGCTGATGTTTAAATGATTTTGAGAAAGCAATCATCCATGCGTTAATTTACTTGCCTTTATTCTCATAGCAAGTGAAATGTCTTCTGCCTCACTCTCCCTTCAATTTTCCCAAATTAACAGTAAACATGGGGTTAAACTGAAGTTTTAATGTATTTATAAGCAATTATTTCTAATTATTTCCCCTTGCTTATTATTATATCCTTTCAAAAATTTCCACATCATATGTCAAATCAAAGCACTAATAAGTATATACTTACAAGGTATATATGAGGCCATGGTTATAAGAAGAAAATAATAGTAGTCAAAAGAGACATTGTATTTGTTAGGAAGTCTTATTGAAAACATTCCTGTTTTCTTCACATACGGCAAGGCAGCATATATTGTAAGAAGTTCACCAGCAACTCCGACAGGATATAAGATGATAAAAAAATTATATCTGGAGAAAGAAAAACCTCAGAGAATTATTTTTCTAGAATAGTTATTTGACTTTACAAGTCTATTGCTACTACTAAATTTAAACTTCAAAATTCTCTTTTCTTTACATAATTACGATAATCTTACATAAGGTTAATAGTTCTACTTTAATCATTTGCTTATTAATTATCATCCTTTTTTTCCTAGTATTAGTTTCCACAATAGGCAATGTCTTTTTAATAAAATAGTATCAACTTATTTTAGAGTACTGAAATACTTTTGTATATTAAAAAATGTATATGTAGTTTTTCTTGGTTTTGTCTTGAGATGGAGTAGGTTCTTGACACCAGGCTGGAGTGCAGTGGCACAATCCTGGCTCACTGCAACCTCCACATCCTGGGTTCAAGTAATTCTCCTGCCTCAGCCTCCCAAGTAGCTGGGATTACAGGTGCATGCCACCATGTCCAGCTAATTTTTGGGTTTCTTTTCTTTTTTTTTGAGATAGAGTCTCACTCTGTTTCCTAGGCTGGAGTGCGGTGGCGCAATCTTGGCTCACTGCAACCTCTGCCTCCCAGGTTAAACAGGTTCTCCTGCCTCAGCCTCCTGAGTAGCTGGGATTACAGGTGCACACCACCATGCCCGGTTAATTTTTGTATTTTTAGTAGAGACAGGGTTTCACCATGTTGGTCAGGTTGGTCTCGAACTCCTGCCTTCGGGTGATCCACCCGCCTCAGCCTCCCAAA